GGGGGGACTCTGGGATCTGGGGGCGACCCCGGTGTCTGGCGGGGGGGGGAACCCCAAAATCCGGACTCACCACGACGGGGCGGGAGAAGGTGACGGCCAACGTCGCGTCCTCCCGGTTGACGTAGAGGCAGAGGATCCGCGGCGGCGGGGAGGCTGGGGGGAACAACACACGTAGGCGTTCAGGAGCGTTTTGGGGGGGCCCCCCAAGGTTTTGGGGGGTCCCTAAGTTTTTTGGGGGGCCGCCGGCGTACCGCGGGAGAGGATGCAGCGCAGGTAGACCCAGGCGCTCTGGTCGTTGGGGTCGGTGAAGACGGCGTTCTGCACCAGTTCCAGCTCTGCCGGGACAGGACGGAATGGGGGGAGATAAAGGGGGGGACCCCGATATCTGGGAGGAACCCCGATATTTGGGAGGGACCCCAATATTTGGGAGGGAGCCCCGATATTTGGGAGGGACCCCGATATTTGGGAGGGACGCCGGCATCCAGGAGGAACCCCGGCACCAAGGTGGGATCCCGGCACCCAGGGGCGGACGGAGACATTTGGGGGGGGACCCCGGTGTTTTGGGGCGTTTTGGGGACCGAGGGTGGGGTTTGGGGAGGGGTGGGGACTCACCCGTTTGGAGGCGGTGGGGGGGCAACGCCCCTGCCCCGCCCCCGGGAGACGTCGGCGTCCGGGTGGGCGCCAGCAGCCGGCTCCGGTGGTGCCAAGCGGAGAAATTGGAAAAGTCGCGGCTGAGCAGGGTCCCGGCAAAGGCCAGTTCGGCCTCGGGGTCTTCCTCGGCCGCCAGCGTCCGACGGTGCTCCCAGGCGTGGACTGGGGGGGGCACCAGTAAGGACCAGTGGGGGCTGGTGTCCCCCCCCAGAGTCCCTTAACCCCATCCCAGTAACTCCCAATACAAACCAGTAACCCTCGTCGCTCCAAAACCCGCTCCTAGTACCATCTAAGATGCCCCAGGTCTCTTTCCACCAGCTCCCACTATAAACCAGTAAGCCCTGCACCCCCAAAAGTCTCTCCCAGTACATCCCAAGATCCCTCATGCCCTCTCCCGCTACTTCCCAATATAAACCAGTAAGCTCAGCAACCTTCCGGTTAGTGGTACGTCCAAGCCGCTATGGCTCAGCACCGCCAAAAACTCACTCCCAGTACAGCCCAGCAGCCCGCTCCCAGCACAGACCAGTCAGCCCAGAAGCTCTTACATCCTTCCCAGGGTGGCCCAGCAGCCCCCAAACCCTCCTCCCAGCGCATCCCAGTACAAACCAGCATGCCTCGGCTCTCTCCGATCCCAAACCAGTACAAACCAGTATACCCCGACACCCGCCAAGATGCAAATTCCAACTTTAAAGCCCCTCTGGTGCCCCGTAACCGCCCCCAAACCCCCTCAAAGCCCCCCCAGGCCCCCCACCCAGTGCCTCCCAGTACATCCCAGTATGCACTCACAGTTGCGGGGGTCAGCGGCCAGCAGACGGTCGCAGAGGGCGCGCTCGGCGGGGGCCGGGGGGGGCGCGGGGGCCCGGCGCAGCACCCAGCCCCGGTGGTGCCAGGCTCCGTAGGATTTGGGGTTCACCCCCAGGCACCCCACCACGAAGGCCAGTTCCCCCGGCACCCTGCGGTGACAGCCCAGTAAAGACCAGTTCCCCCCAGTGCCCCTCTGGCCACCGCCCAGCAACCTCCCAGCGCCCAGAAACCCTGTCGCAGTGCCCCCTAGTCCCCTCCCAGTAACCTCCCAGTGCTCCCCAGCCCCCACAAAACCCCTCTGAGGGCATCCCGTGCACCCCAGCACCCACAAATGCCTTTCTAACACTTTCCAGTGCTCCCCAGTATGCACTGATCACCTCCCAGTACGTCCCAGTGCCCCCAGATTCCCTTCCAGTAACCTCCCAGTGCTCCCCACTCCCCATGAAACCTCTCCATGGGCATCCCATGCCCCCCAGTACCCACAGATCCCTTCCTAAACACCTCCCAGTGCCCCCCAGTACCCACTGATCTTCTCCCAGTCCATCCCAGCGCCCTCCCCGGCCCCCGAAATCCCCTCCCAGTGCCTCCCAGTCCAGACCAGTCGGCGGGGTCGGGGGGCAGGGCGCAGCGCCGCAGGTTCCAGCACGTTCCCACGTCGGGGTTGGCCGCCAGGACGGCGCCCGTCAGCGCCAGCGCCTCCGCGTCCAGCTCGCCCCGCTCCCGCTGGGGGCAGAGGTCGAGGGTCAGGGGTCGACCTGAGAGGTCAGGGGTCACCAAGGCCCGCGGGAGGGGGGCGTGGCAGCCAGGGGTGGGGTCAGAGGGTGGGGTCAGAGGTCACCTTCTCCAGCAGGGTGGCCATGGCGGAGCGGTAGAGGCGGAGCTTCTCCTCCCGCTGCCGGCGGCGGGCGGCGTCCGGGGGGCGGAGCTTCAGGCGGCCGTGCTGCAAGGAATTGTGGGATGCTGGGGGTCACGGACTGGGAGGAATGGGGGGGGGAACTGGGGGGTGACTGGGCAGAACTGGGAGGCACTGGGAGGGGACTGGGAGGAACTGGGATGTGCTGGAGGTCGACTGTGGGGAAGTAGCTGCCACTGGAAATTAACTGGGAGGCACTGGGGGGCTCTGGGAGTCACTGGGGGGCTCTGGGAGTCACTGGGGGGGGACTGGGAGAAACTGGAGGGCACTGGCACACACTAGGTGTGGGCTGGGAAGAACTAGCTGCCACTGGAATTTGACTGGGAGGCACTGGGGGGCTCTGGGGGTCACTGGGGGGGACGCGGAGAAACTGGGATGCACCGGAGGTTGACTGGGAGGAACTAGTTGTCACTGGAAGTTAACTGGGAGGCACTGGTGGGTGACTGGGAGGCACTGGGGGG